GTGTATTTTTTCCTGCTACACTTTTGTTGCTGTGGCCACAAGAGCATTTCATTAATAGAAAAACCCCTATAAACAACTTAAAGTGAGAGGGAATGATTGGTACCTCAGGTTTGATTATCAATGTGCAACTTTACAGTTTTTTTGTTGGATTGTGGAAAATTCATACAAGTGAGCTGAGTAAAATGCTTGTCCATTGATGCAGCCATGTGTGTGGTTTCCACCAATCCTAGAACCCTTATTTGTAACATCTGTCAAAGGTTTTACAGCTCAAAAGGACATGAGTTGAACCAGTTACTCCTAAAATTAATCATATATTACTATGAAGTGTTTTAAAACGCCCAAAGTAAACTGTCCCTACTTCTGCCTTTTCTCAGCCACCTCTGGAGCTTTTAACAAGTCAGTTTGCATCACTGCCACTAGGTGTCAGTAGTGTCAAAGTATTACTGATGGCACTAACCACATTATATGGCAGGTAAGATGGTCTCCTTTCATTTCAAATTTTATCATCTTCCACCACATAGTACAGAATTTTCATCTTCAACTTTCATATGGAAAGAATATATCCAACACAACAGACAACGATTAAATTGTGGATACACACTTTAATGCCAGAACCTTGGTATCTTACAGTATATCTAAACAGTACAGTACAGTACAGTATTATCAACAGTTTGGAACATTATTATTAAGCACTGTAGTATGAAGGACAAGGATTGATTCATATCAATGAAATGCATTGTAATGGAAAATATAGTTCAGACCTCAGAAAAAACAGTGTAGCTAGCTGCCCACAAGAATTCTACAAGTGCAGAAAAGTCAGACAAAATCAGGACCCAGTCTAAAACTGAAAAGACTTTAATTCTATAGCATACTGAGAACTAGTTAAAGAAAACCTTGAAAAAGTCAGGTAAAAAAAATTAAGCTTATCTTTGGAGATGTAACTGCTGTTTTCAAATTACAAACAAATTAACTTTCCCATCGCCTTCTTGTTCTTCACCTCTTCCAGTTTCTTGTCCTGTTGTTAGTAAACAAAAGAATCACATCACATCAGTATTTATTATTACAAAAAGCATTAAGACATGTTGAAATGCAATTATCAACGTACTTTCTCCTTAAATTTTTCATTTGAGCTGCCATCCATGCAGTGCGGTTCTCTTCGTATGTCTTCTTTGATTGAGTTTCTCTTGCCGTCTTCTTAAGTTGCAGCTTTTTCCTCGATGGCCTTCTGCTGAACCTCCTTCACATGCTCTTTTTTCAGCCAACTGTTTCAACACTTCAGCGCCTGATCTGAAAAATGAGAATTTAACATAACATGAGGTGATGAGGCTTCAGAGTTCATTTAGTAGTTAACAATTTTCAGACTTATGTTACTTTGGCATTCACAATACCTTGCGTCTCTCTTCTGCAGCGTCCAGTTTTCTCTTAATCTCATCCAGTGATGTTTCCTTTTTATTCAGAGGGGACAATGGAAATTCCTTAGCATCTGTGTTTGAGGGGCTCAGGATGACCTCGAATGCGTGACCTGAGGCCCGCTTGTTCAGCTCCTTCACTTGGATATCTGCAAAACAGAATATCTGTAAAGCTATGGCAGATGTGTTATGATTAAAGGTCAAGGTTCAAAGTCACAACTTTGATTTTTTTTCTTCATCTCAACATTAGTCATTGCAACTTGATATATGACAATCCGTTGATTCATTATAAAATCTGTTGTTAATTCACTTAGATCAAGGATATCTTCATTCACTAGAATTATAGCAAATTGATTCTATTGAGACCCACTGACCCAGGATAATTAAATGAGGTTGGGCGGGGTAGGGTTCTATTAGAGGTCAGGAGGAAACAATAGTCATTGTTGAGTGGCAGCTTTTTTTGTTTTTTTTAAATATGAAAACAAGATGGAAATATATCACTTTTTAATGACTGCTCTTTACAAATTGCCTTTGCTACTTGCTGCACATGCCACCTCAACAGACAGTTAAATTGTAGTGGTTGCGTTTTGTTTACATTTAAATCAAGACATTTATTCACTTGAAGGAGCAATATGTAAGATACCTACTAAATTAAGTCATAAAATGACATTACTATATCATCAGACATTAAGGAACATGCTGTTAAAGTGCTGACTTCTTCTCAACAATGTAGCAGCCAGTATGGTCTCCTCCTAAGTTTTGATTCAGGAATGGTCTGTTTTGTTTTGACCAGAAGGTAAGCGGTTTTAAGGCACCCTGACGCAGTTTTGGACATCCCTGTGTTTCCCAGTTATGAGACCACTTATAACGGAAAACCAAAAGGGTTGCAGTGATGGACGCGGTACAGGCAAACTGGTTTAGATATAACTGATTCTACCTGACCTAAAAAGCCACTGCATTTTTCTGATAAACTTCATGACCAGAAACATGGTAAAAGTAGGATAAACATTGGAAATGCTTTAAAAAAAATAGAGGTTAGAGAGCAGAAAGGTTTCAAGCACGATGCAGAACTCATCTCACTGACACAATTCATGTCTTATTGAACACTTACCTCCACAGGTGTCCATTTCAGCAGGAATGATTCCTTTTTAATTCCACTAAAAACGAATAAGAAAATATTGTCAAACAAATCAAGTCTAACTGTGCTCAGTGATACGCCTTTGTTTCACTTGGTCAAATGTGAATTTCGACATTTGAAAGAATGCAGCGCTGCAGTAACAGCCATGTACTCTGATGGAGCTGAAGCAGACAGTCATAGCCGTGTTTTGATAGAACAACGCTCAAGCATGCGAGCATTACTTTTAGAAAAACTCTCTTCTCCTGCTATGACCTTTAGAATAAAAATACACGTTTTTCGGGCAATTAAGACAGGTGGATTATTTCTGCAATATACATACTTATGTCAATGTCTGGTAAAATGTGATGCATTAAACCTCTCAGGGTAAGGTGTACACACAAGTATGTTCTCTACAGTTGCGCGTTTTTAGCTGTTAGACTAGTCTGAACATGTCATGACATAACAGGCAAAACTAGATCTACACATCACTGATGTTATAAGCAGTGAAGTGAACTAGGACAGCAACTCAGGATTTCTCCTGCTTTCATAACTATCTGTGTATGAAAGAAAGGGAGTCTTTAATATTTATTTGTTGCAACAAAATAAGTGGAAATAACCATGGTGCACATATAGAAATGTTTGATAATTGCATTTAAGGTTGGTTTACAGCACATAATGTAAAATAATGGTGTTATGGAAGTTATATGGCATAGGAAAATAAAATTAAGTTAGATAGGTAATAGATGTACTCATATACCAATAACGGATCAAAATAGCTACATTTGACTGAATTATACTATTTAGACAATAAACTGAAAATACAGATGTTTGGTTGTATTGTTAACAAATCTTTAGGCTCGTCAAAAAAAGTCGCAATGCCCATACCTACTCTGAACAGGATGTGTTTCTGCAAAAGGCGGGGGTGGGATATAAGAAACAGAGTCGTTAAAACAAACAATCTTGAAAGTCGAAAGCATGAAATATCTTGAGGAAAAAATAATTTGATAAAATGAGGATGAAGAGCAAGATAATTGAGTTATAGACTCGAACACTAAAATGAGCTGGATTAGTTTACTGTCGTGTTTTCTCATACAGGATAACATAGTGTAGACTCCAGTCAAAACAAGTGACAAACTTAGCGTTATTTTAAAGATATTGTGAAAATAAACGAAACTTATGGTAGGCCTATGCTTTTTGAGTAATACAGCCTATTTTTTAAGAGTTGCTTGTATGTTATTACAAACAAAATGTGTCCATAGCTATAAAGTCAGTTTACTCTTTGACTTTTAGTGATGCTCAACATCTTCATAACGTTTCAATAATTGTCTTAAAAGACCTTACAAAACATTGTTATAATAGTCTGAGAGCCTGGTTCAACATTAGCATAAAACCATTGTTCTCACCGTCAAGTGCTTTAGTTTGAAGTGCGCACACGACACGAGTCGACTTCTTCTTCTGCTGTTCTCATGCAGAATAACACCAACAACATCTGCACCTTCGCGCGAAAAGTTACTAACTCCAGACGTCACCAGAGGTCTTTGATTTCATTGGTCAAAATCCACCAATCACAGCACGTCTTAAAACTGTAAGCGCCAGGATCAGACTCACACTACATAGTTAGAAACAAAGGCAGCACAGGCTGGTGGATGTTAGAGAAAGTACAGACCAGGTAACGTTAGCGTTATGTAAGAGGCAAACATCCCACCTACTTTACCCAAGCATATGATTAAAGATAAACTTTTTGAAAGTATAATTGAAGGAACACTGGTGGTAAGCATCTCTGCAAAAAAAGTACATTGCTTTTAGACCTGCGGATCCATGTTGTTTCGCCCCCATTCGCAAAAAACGCATTTGAGTATCATTTGCATAACCTTCAGTCACTACCACAACAGTAGTCCATGTGAACTGAACAAAGATGCATTCAATAAATAAAAACCACCATATAATTAAAAACACAACAAGGTCACTTTTATTGTGAAGAGGTTGTAGCGAAGACTTATTTTGAAGAGGTTATAGTGAAGACTTTTATTTTGAAGAGGTTATAGTGAAGACTTTTATTTCTAAGAGGTTATAGTGAAGACTTTTATTGTGAAGACTTTTATTTCTAAGAGGTTATAGTGAAGACTTTTATTTTGAAGAGGTTATAGTAAAGACATTTATTTTGAAGAGGTTATAGTGAAGACTTTTATTTTGAAGAGGTTATAGTGAAGACTTTTATTGCTAAGAGGTTATAGTGAAGACTTTTATTGTGAAGAGGTTATAGTGAAGACTTTTATTTCTAAGAGGTTATAGTGAAGACTTTTATTTTGAAGAGGTTATAGTAAAGACATTTATTTTGAAGAGGTTATAGTGAAGACTTTTATTTTGAAGAGGTTATAGTGAAGACTTTTATTTCGAAGAGGTTATAGTGAAGACTTTTATTTTGAAGAGGTTATAGTGAAGACTTTTATTTTGAAGAGCAGCAGAGTATCCCCTCCGGTTGTTGTATTTAGTAGTACTTATCTCCTGACAGGGAAACGATAGTTGACTGTATTCTTCCCTTGGTTTCAACATTTTAAAGTAAATATGGGAGCTTGTCTGGCATTGTGCTCTGTAGCCAGCTGCGTAAGTATCTACTCTTCTTATGAATACTGTGTTTGTCGGCTTTTCTCACTTTCTCACGGTATTGTAATCGATACTGATGGTTAGCTTGAGGTTTAACAAAAGGCGTAACGTGAAACTCTTTAGACAGTCTTGCTATAAACAAGTTGATTAAAGTATGGACACGCTACTGCATACATGAAGAATAATTCAGTGTAGTGAGCTGCTGAATAAACAGGACAAAGAGATTGTGAAGGAGCAACAGAAAAGCTAGCTAGCCAGGCTAACGTGAGGGTATTTGACGTAAATGTTGCTGATTTATTGTCGTATTAAATGTATATGTTTTGGCTGTTTCTTAAGGAAGACAGCTCATGACTGTCTATAAGTCGCTTACATAGTTTAAATAGGTCAAGTAGCAATATCCCTGTCTTGCTTGGTATCATATAAACAAGGTGGAGTCTGTCTGTCTATATGTGGACTGACTGGAAATTATTACACAAGCCAGGAATTAACTGTCTCCTATGTTTTGTTGACAAACTGGCCCTACTTAAAAAACCCTGTCCTAGTCATATAGACATATGTGACTGTTAATTGATTTTGGAACCAGGACATGTCAAGATTAACAATTTATCAGCCAATATTTCTAATGTAGCAAAACCTGTTTGTGATTGGCATTCTGCCAAAGCAAACGCCTGCATTAATTTCACATTCAGTTTCGCCCGTAGCTTTAACTCTGTAATTTTTTGCCTCTCTCTCCATCACTCATAGGCCTCCTGTCTGTGTGGCTCAGCACCATGCCTGCTGTGTGGCTGCTGTCCCTCCTCCAATAACTCCACTATCACACGGCTGGTTTTCTCCTTCTTTCTGCTGCTGGGGACACTGGTGTCTGTCATTATGATACTTCCTGGAATGGAGGCCGAGCTTCAAAAAGTAACATCTATGGTTTAATTACATTTTTTAAAAATGATAAGATTTCTTAAACTGAACCACCCACTTGTTGTGCATGTGTTTCTTTTTCATACAATATTTCACTAATGTCAGCTATCTGTCTCTGAGATAAGGAAGTTACACATTAAAAGCTGCACAGCAGTCAAATGCTTCTTTGTACAAAATGAATGGCTTACCTATAAGGCAAGTTAAGTTTATTTATGTTGTACATTTCAGCAACAATTCTGTTATGTTGAAGTTTTTCACAATTTCTTTCTACTTGATACTTTCAGGAAGGCTTTATTATGATACAGTCTACATTAGACTTAAACTTAGACTTTCTTTATTGTCATTCAAACTTGTATTTTACAGTGCAGATAAGGACAAAATTTTGTTGCATTTGGCTCGTTGCAGGATAAAAAACAGCAGCAAGTATTTACAAAAATAAAAATAAGGTGCAGATATAAATAGATATAAAAAGAAAATTCATGAGTAAAATTACTATACAGATAAATATATTGCACGTTATATGTTGTATTTTCCAGTCCAGTGAGGTAGTCCTGTGTGGGGGTTTGAGGGGGAATGGAGGGATTATTTTTTCGTGTTCAAAGTCTTATGGCCTGTGGGAAGAAGCTGTTACAGAACCTGGAAGTTCTGCTTCGGAGGCTGCAGAACCTCTGGAAAGTCATTTATAATTTCCTGTTTTGTAGATTCCGGGACTCTGCCAAGGGGGATCTTCTATACCTGGTTTGGAAAACCACGTTAAATGTGAAGTCATTGTGGGCTACAAGTCTGTGTACCGGATGTGCTTTGCCATGACCTGCTTCTTCTTTCTGTTCTGCGCTATTATGATTGGTGTCCGTAGCAGCAAAGATCCTCGGGCTGGCATTCAAAATGGGTACGTACTTCATCAGTGCTCCTTGGAAGGCATGTGCTCAGGTTTGGGAACTGATGGTGGTTATTCAACTGTTTATTTTATTGCTTTATTTTTACAGATTCTGGTTCTTTAAATTCCTGATCCTTATTGGGATTACTGTGGGAGCTTTTTTCATCCCTGACGGAACCTTTCATACTGGTACTAAATTGCTCTGATGAATTAAAATAAACATTAGTTCTTTGTACTTTTTTTCCTGAGCAGACATTGACTTTTATCGGTGACTCAAGCAAAGTAGAAATAACTGTTTTTATCCAATTCACAGTGTGGTTTTACTTCGGAGTGGTGGGATCTTTCATCTTTATTATAATCCAACTTATTCTCCTCATCGACTTTGCTCACTCCTGGAACAAGGCGTGGGTAGAAAATGCTGAAAATAGTGGCAACAAATGCTGGTTTGCAGGTACATTTTTCCTTTCGATATTTTTTGCCATATCAAACTTTATTCTTCTTGACAAATGACTACTTATAAAATTGGCTAAATATTTTACTCTGGTACAAACATCTGCTCTGCTGTCCGAGTAGCACATGAGTATACTTACAGCTCCACGTTAATAATTGTTTTTGTGATTTCCAGGCCTTCTGTCTTTCACCGTCCTGTACTATGCCTTGGCTTTCACTGCTGTCGTGCTTTTCTACGTTTACTACACACAGCCCGATGACTGCACAGAACACAAAGTCTTCATCAGCCTCAACCTTATTTTCTGCATCATCGTCTCCATTGTCTCTATTCTACCCAAGATTCAGGTATGAACCAGTTTAACGCAGTATGTAAACATTATTCTTCCCCTCCTTTTTGATTGAATTGAGTAATTTTCTCAGATTCAGACAGGTTTTTGATAGAAATATTGTCCGACTACAATCCCTTGGTAGTTGATGTCAAAACTGCTGAACCTTAGTTTACATTTTGCACGATCTTACGTTTTTGCTTTCTTCATTCTACATTTTTCTTATGTAACAGGAAGCCCAGCCACACTCTGGTTTACTCCAGGCGTCACTCATCTCCCTCTACACCATGTATGTCACCTGGTCTGCAATGACTAACAATCCAAGTGAGTCCCCGGCTCTCTTAAACATTAGTCTCAGCTCTTCTCTGTAGCTTTTGGTTGCATGGTCATCTGTGATTATGCCTAATTTTTTATTTTTAATATATGTTTTGCTAATTATCTGCTGCAGCATTTTGATTATATTGGTAAGTTTTAATGACATGCTATAGGAACAAAGAAGTACTTTTGTAATAGGAAGTACATATTCTAGGTAGACCTTCCTTGTCTCATCTCGGTCACACTGGCAATCCGTACCGTGCCCAAGCATGCTTCAATGCTAAAGTCCAGTTCGTTTGTCTAGTGTGACCGCTCTCCGTATCGTCTTGCTGCTACTTCGGAGCCGGTACACTTCATGCACGAGCACAGCACGCGGGTACACAACGCTGACAGCCTTCATTATGGAGAAATCCAGAGTTTCATGGCTGTATCTGACTAACATGACTCAATATAAGACACAAAGTAGCTGTCATGTCTTCTCTGTGTTGTTCTTCGATGTGCGGCCGATTGAGGATCGGCCGCACGTCTATTTTTTTTTTTTTTTTTACAGCTGTGTCTGATAAAAATGGCTTAAATTAAGCCGCAAAGTCAGTAAAGTAGCTGTCATGCTCTCTGTGTTGTTCTCCAATGTGCAGACGCGGACTGGACTGCGCGTCCGCCTGTTTGTCAACTGAGCACGCTTCATAATAACATAAATGTATGTACATGTATTACGACACCATGTACAAGAGGTAATTGATTAAGCACGGATAGTCCTGTGTAGTGTGCCGGCCAGCGTGGGAATGGCAGCAGGGCGCCAATCGTGCTTGAGTACGGCACGGTACAGATGGCCAGTGTGACCGCGCCTAACACTGAATAGCACAATAGGCTAGCTTGTGGTGACTGCAGGGTTAGTTATTTTCTATGTGTAGCCAACTGAGCTCAATTTACACTCAACATGACTGTAAAATGCATCCCTACTACTCCCAAAGACGTGGATTTCATCTTCTCTTTAGTATAAGAAAGATGCAAACAATCCATGGTATCCTTGAAAACTGTCATGTTATTATGATGTTGCAACTCACACCCTTGTTGATGGCAAACACAAGAAACATATAGAAAACACTAGTGTAGCCTAAGCCATGTTTTAAAAAGAGAACTGTAGTTTCATTATTATTTAAATATAGGGGGAGTAGGGTAGGAATAAATTGGGATGTGTTTGGGATGGATAGCATTTTTTTAAATAAATGCGATGTACATGTGCTGTAATGAAATGATAAGTGCTCAGTGAAGACACTCTCATCCCAATTATGCTCCTGTGCCCTCCTGATAAGTTACGCAACCTACCTTAAGACCCTTAGCTGGCACAGCTACCAAAGCACATTCCACCTTCTACAGACCGGCTCTGTTTATGCGAGCTAACCAGTTAGTGGCAACGCCAGTTTTACCTACCATATTGCATGGCCCTTCTGGCACCCACAACTCAACCATGTAGACTGATGGGCAGCCGGAGCCAGGATTTCAATTAGGTTGTCAAGTGGGAACCTCCATAGCCTGTGTTTTGTCCGATTAGTCCCACGACACCCAGAGCCACAACCCGTCCATGCTCTCACGGCCCCCCCCCCCCAGAACTTCTATATCTTGCCTACCCTACCAATCACAGCCAAACAGCATTGCCTCCTTCAACAGGCTGAAGGGTACATACAAGCTCCAACTTTTTTACCTGACATCTCCCTTACTGTCTTTTGGATATTCTGTCCTAGCACTGACAGCTGTCCAGTAATGAGACAGCTCATCTTGCATGGATCCACTACGTCCCACTTCTACTGGACAAACCTTACTTTCCATCCTCACTGTTCAGCTTCTGGCTCCTATACCTGCATATCTAAGCTTTTTCCTTCCTCTACAAGTCCTCCAAGGGAACCGCAGTTCTATAAAATCAACTATATGCTGACTTGCACGCCATAACACTATGTCAAGACTCAGATTAGTGAAAACTATTTCTGTGGCACAACAGTTTTGCCCCTCCCAAATCTACCTGCATCTCCAAATAATTAGCGCTCTTTTAAGGCCTGACTGGTGCCTGCTTAAAGTCTCCCTCTGTTGTATTTCTCTCCCTTTATAGACAAACTGAAGGCTGCATTCTTTTTCCTGATTACATTTTGAATCCCCTGTCCTTTACTTTCAATTCCTGTTGCTAAGCTTTTCAACACCTGGTTATGTGGATCGTGGATTGTGACAAACTAATCCTTCAACCTGAAGGAATATGCCTCAAAGTAGCTACCTCTGAACACAAATGGCACCATTGGTTCCTATCTACCCAACGTTTAGGGTTCTGGGTGATGGTAGCACATCACAAGCAGCCCCCAGGAATTTAACACGACTGTCCTCCATACTCCCCAGGTCCCTTCAACTAAACTTTCCCTACTGTGCACTTTCCCAGTTCATCCACTGTGCTTCCTTAGCCTGCATGCCTTACAACTTCCTCTTGTCAACGTACCAGATCTATTACCGGCTTCCTTCTTTCTCAGGGACCTACTATGGTCAACCAGTTTGCTAGAGCTAGCTGCACATTAAACTCTGCCTCAGCTTCCTGTACCGCTTGGCTTGGGTTCCATTTCCTCCTCTAGTTGGATTTGGACCACGTTACTAACTACCTTGTCCTTGCTTTCTGTCCTGACCTTTGCACACTTGAACTTAGACTAGTTATCGGAAGCTGGAGTATCCCTTTCTCATACAATACCACACTACTAAGAGGCAATGGGGTGCTGACCCATGTCAATCCCTGCGTAATACACCTTTAATTGAACATTTTTATTGTATATAAAGTATCTCTTTCTTATTTAGTGCAACAGTTAATTTACAAAGGAATAATACAATTTACAGGCAGGTTAAACAAGATTAACTTTAGATACCAAGAGATATCTCTTACA